TCTTTCAACTATTACTATGGATCAAGGTATGCTTTTTGATCAATTAATCTATATGTTAAAATCTTGAATTCTAAAAATCTTGGTATTAGGGTTGAATTGCTTACATGCTGCCACATAGCATATATTAATGGGTGTTCTTTACAGGTTACAGATCTCAAAAATCTTCAAATTTATTTCATGTTGAAGGTGAGGTGTACATAGTGAGTGCTACTTCTTCACCAGTGAAGCCATTTTCATTCATTGCCTATCAAGTGGAGCAATATCGCTTCATGATACCTTTTTATGCAATTTTTCGTCAGGTATCCAAATCCGTGTGAGTTGGATGCCAGACAATTTTGAATGCATTAATAAGTAGAGAAATATGAGGAGCATGGAATATAGAGCATCTTACAAAATTCACTAATTGTTTTTATTTAAAATAAAACTGCAAGCATCATAGCTAACATTCATCAGCTCCTGAAGTAACCCTTCAAATGGCACAATGATTAAACAATTACGACAAGTTAATAAGAAGCCGGAAAGGAAAAGAAACAAAAAAAAGTCCAAAAAAGAAAATTAAAATGAAGAATCTCAAGAACCAACCTTGCATTTCATCCCTTGCAGCCTGAGCATCAGCCCTATTCATGAAAGCTACAAAACCACAATTCCTCTGCCGCCTCTTTTCCTCTTCTGTTCTCGGCCACATTATTTTGACACTGGCAATAGGTCCAAATCTCCCAAAAGTCCGCAAAAGGAAATTCTCATCAACCTAACAGAAGAAAATAAATAATAGTGAAAGGTTAATAAAGCATTCCTTGACCCATAGAGTAGCCAGTTACAGAAGAGCAAACAAGCCAGGACCTGAAATATTAAGGTGCAATGCACGGAGTACAAAAGAATCTTACCTGAGGTGATAAATTTCCGACGTAAAGATTTGTCGTTTGTGGATCTCCCTCGTCAAATGATCCAGGTTTACCAGTCAAATCAAAATCATCTGGCAGCTCATCAAACCGGCTGGATGGCTGAGGAAAGATGAACATAGTTACGCATAAACACTGGCACCAAACTGAAGATGAGCAATAGGAAACGCTCAAACAGCTCCAACAAATTCATCTAGATCCACGTGAAATTATATCCCTCATTTTCGTACAAAGACATAAGAGCATCTCCAATCTTGGTGTAAAATAAATCTCCATTGTTATTTAGATCTCCAAATCAGAAACCTCTCCAATGGAGAGATGCAAAGGAAATGCAAAATTGCATTTTCCAGTAGAAAATGTAAAAAAAAAAATGTAAATTTACAACCTTTTTTACATCCAAGGGGCAAAAGTGGGTTTAGATTTCTCATTGGAGGAAAATTTAAATTTAAATCCACCGAAATGTAAATGAGGATGCAAAAGTGGGTTTGAAGATACCAATTTTACACCACGATTAGAGATACTCTAATATACTTAAATCCCAAGAAAGCATGAATGTTTCAAATGGAAATGCCTATTATAAGCATTACTATTTAGCAATTAGCAATGTGACCAGATCCTGTCAAAAAGAAAGAGAGAGAGAGAGAGAGAACCAGCAGAACATTATCCTTTAATTTACACGAACAAGTTTGAAATAAACACTTACAGCAGAATTGTCACCAGGATGAGTATCGCGCCAAAGTTCACGCTCTTGGTTTCGCTTCTCCCTCATTTCTTGTTCATGCTTCAACTCCTCCATAAAATGATCAATGTTCCGGGACTTTCCTTTTTGTTTCTCCTTCGACTTCTCCTCCATCTGCAGATTATAAAGCAAATTATTAATAGACGATTACAATCTCATTCAACATCAAGGAAAAGTTTCATGTGCTCCCTAACCTTCTTTTCATAATCTTTACCCTTTGTTGCCATAGGAGGTGGGATGAATGATGGCACATACCTGTATGAAGCTCAACTATAATTTAATATTCGTGTGGGCAAGAACATTCTTGAAAAGAAAAAGAAAAAGAGGAAATCTCAATAATAAAGAGAAAAAGAGAAGGCAAGAACGTCGAGAGAAAACAAACAAGAACCAACAGGAAATCATTTGAGATTTGCTAAGGGAAAAATGTTTGCTGTAGCACAATAACATATCCCAGGCATTCTTCCCCAGTAGGTACATAAGTTCTAAGTCTCACTCAAAAATTCTGTTTCTCATAAAGCTGTTATTAAATTATTTCCAGAATTTCCAAGGATATTCCATCAAAACAGCGTGACATGGAAGGTTATGTATAATTCTAAACCAATATTTATATTGGTTTTTGGTGTAAAATGATGCCATGTAAATAACAAAGCATATTTGTCAGATATCCCTCCAGAAAGATTTGATTTAAAAAAGATGGAATCTTTTATGGTTTATAGTAAAAATGATTATTTCAAAGCCAGGGTCCAATATATAAACACTTACAACAGTATATCATTATATGAACTGTTGGAATTCTGCCATACGAATTTCCTAATAAGGAAATTGCATTCCCATTTATTTTATATTTCCATTTATGTATTCAGCCCTCGAGTGTAGTGGTTTGATTTATCCTAGAATAATGCTAGAAACAGTTTAGGTAGAAGCTATCATTGACCTTAGAATTAGGCCTATACAGAATATTTATTACTTGTGTGTATAAACCTTTGTAATCCTAATTATAGAATCAAATTTCATCATCATTGCTGTAGCACAAGATTAACGTCCATGCCGCTGGAAAAGCCCAGTCAAGAATGAGAAAACCTAGTATGCTTACATTTCATGATTGCTACACAGCTTTGGCTGCCACGTAACTTGGACTATGAGTTGAACTTTTAACAGGAGTATATTTAATTGCAAACTACACAAATTGCATGCTGTATACTTCAAGGTAAGTGTTGTCGTAGTGCAGCAAAAAAATGCAGTAGTACTAAAATTGGTCTCTCCATATATCTCTAGGGAAGACCATCATCTCCAAATGCATCAAAGTGAAAGGTCAATGACAAGTATTTAGCCTGCTAACTTTTGGTGTTGTGAAAACCAAAGCAGTAGAGCTGTATCTGAGAAGATCACGACCACATCATTATCATCCTCAGAATGCCTAATCATACAAGCATTATGAAATAGCTGATCAAAAGCATTTGTTACCTACTCCCCTTCTTTAAACCAGAATTCTCATCTTTGGACTTTCCACCTGCCATCGGCGAATGATAGAAAAGGCCCATAATTTTATTAATGTGTCCACATAAAAATGAAGAAATCATTCATTTATCCACATTGCATCAAAAAATAAAACTAAAATTAAATATTGAGTTCTTTCCAAAAGTTTCTGTATAAATTTTATTAATTCGCAACTGACCTTCAGAATCATTCTTTAGCTTCTCGTTTGGATTGATGGTTCCACCTCTGACAAAGGTCTTGGACCCTGGCGTATCATCCACTTGAAACGATTCTAAAAACTCTTGATATAATCTAGCTGTTTCATCCTCCACCCTCTGATAATATAAAAAGATTGAATAGAACGTAAAACAGTGTCGTGGAGGGGGGAGAGGTATTTAAATTATTTTTTCTTAGTTTAAAAAAATACTTTTTTCTTCGCCTCTTCGACTTCTCTGTGCTTCTGAAAAGGTGTCTTCTTTCGGGAACTCATTCTGTCATAAAATGCTTGAACTTCAGAAAAGCCAAAAATGTGTCAAAAACCATACAAGTCTCCCAAAGTACATATAAAACCCAAGAAGAGAGAATAGCGATGTTATTAGCTTCCAATATAAAATAACTTGCAAAGAAAAATTAGTAATAAATTCAAAAACTCGGAAATCAAGGAAACCCACTTTTTAATTTCCAAAAAATATATATTAATCAACTATAATTAAGCCCCCAAACTAAAACCAATAGCGCTGCTTCTCGTATCATTTAAAAAAAAGGAAGGGGAAAACAACGAAAGGGAGAACCTCCCAGTGTATTCAAAAAGCGAACTATACTAACATAAACAGGATTGGACACTATTTTTCTCCCAAAAATAAACATAATCCTGAAATTTAGTGTCGGAGCTAATTCTTTACCTACAGTAAACACAAATGCACACCAGCGCGTACGCGGTGGTAATTGTCGTATAAAAATAGATTCTTTTTTACCTTTCCTGCTGATTGAGAAACTAAAAATCCGGTTCCTAGGATATTTTTGTGGTAAAACCCTTCTAGTACATTATTTTATTTTATTTTTATGATTGCTATAATAATATACGAAATAGATTATGAAGAAAATTCATGTAAATACTTACACGCATAAACAGATAAGAGCTTACTGGGTACAGAAAATTAAATGGATCTGTGACTCGGAAGAAAAAAAATTCTGAGAGTTGAGTGTCCTCCTCCCGAGCCAAAGGCGGAGACGGGGAACGTTTTATGTTTTGTACTAGACGGAATCGGAGTCCAGAGCCCCGACCCGATAAAAGGATCCGAGTAATAAATTAGGTGAAATTGCAGGAAATGTCCATCACTTATTTTCTCATGGGAAGAATACACAAAACCTAGATATAAGAATTACTTTTCAAAACTAACAAATTTGTCTAATTATTTCAAAGATCGGATGGTAAATAAATTTATTAAATATTAAATTATAATATAATATACATTAATTATTTACACACATGACACCTCACCCACCCCACTACGCCACTTTCCCTCCATCTCCGTCATCGCTCCGGCGACGATCCGATGGCTGCTCAGGTGACTGCTCCGATTGCCGCTGGTTTCAAGATTTTCAGAAAATTAAAAATTGAAAATCACACCCCCAACCCATGGATCCACCTACCACCACCCCACCCCTGCCTCCACCTCCTGAAAAAATTACAGGAAAAATGTCAAATCACTTTATATAATCAACCGCTGACAGGTCTCATCTGTGACTAATTGTGACCAGATGCGTATTCAATATGACTAAATATGGCCAAATTTGTGTGAAGTGTGACTATATGTGACCAATCAAATCTTAATTGTAATCGTATATGATCATGTCACAATCGATCACAATTAACACAAAAATTGGTCACAATCAGTCACAGTGCACACATATTTTGTCACAAATTGCCACCAGAGACATCCGCTTACACCACGGACCAGCACCATAATCCACCACCATTCATCACCACCATCACCTCCAATGCCACTTTCAACTCAAATTTACGACCAATCCACTTGATATCTTGATAATTTCAAACTTCAAACATCATCAAGAAACTATAGAACATCTTTCACTCTTTTTACAGAATTCCAACTTCAAACATTACAAATCACACTGTTATCACTTCAATGAATAAATCACCAACAATCCCATCAATTATGCAAAGTTCATCCACATATTTACTAAAACTAAAACAACAATTTTTTACAAATTCCTCAACACCGTCATCTTAATCACCAACAATACAGCATATTTAACATTTTCTCTTTTCTTCAACAATTCCCATAGGCTTTTTATACAATAAATATTTAGCTAAGTAATACATAAGAAAATATTGATTCTTTTTGGATTGATGATTCCTTTATTTTTCTCCCAATCTCGGGTCTTGTAATTCATCCATTGTTCCAAAAAAAGAAAAGAAAATCATGGATGGAATTTCAGATTTTTTTTTTTAATATAAACTCATAATGGACTCAATAGAGATATAATTCATAAAAAGATTAACTATTGGATCACAATCACATAATATACCTAAAATCTTCAGAACTTGTCGTACACTAACACCACACAAATGTCAACCTTTGGTACTTTCAACATGATTACCATCTAAAAGCTCGCTCACACAGAACTGATGCAAATTTTCATATATTGTTTTCCATTGCTGGATCGTTTGCACAGATCTTTGCTGTTCAACTTTCAGCCTCCAACATCCAGTTCAGCAGCTGCAGAAGAACCTTGTTTCTGCTGTCCTCTCGAGTTTTGCAGGACAACACAGGTGGACGCAGAAGGTAACAGAAAGTGGCTGAGGAAATTGGAGAGGGGGTCCGAGGAAAATGGGTCGGGTATGCTTGGGTTGGGGTTTTGGTATACTTCAACGAAGCCGGAGAGGCACGAGGGGCAAAGAAGATCGCCGGTGGGGAAGGGGTTGATGTTGACTGTGCTCCGGAACAGTCGCCTCTTTGCCTTTTCGTTCTCGTTCTCATTCTCGTTCTCCCTTGGAAACTTTCAACTTGTTGCTAGATTACTAGTGATGCTGGCAAGAGTGTGGGGATGCCTTAATCTCAGTAGGCGACTGGTCTCGCGAAACTTCGGCGAGAGAAGTGGTAGGTGGCCGGAATCTAAAGGGTGGGGAAGAAGTCGCCTATTTGATTTTTGGGTAAGAGAGTGCCGGCCTAATTTTTGGGGAAGAGAGAGAGTGTGTGTGGGAGGGTTTGAATCAAGTATGGGGTAAAAGAAGTGTCAGCGTGCCAGAATGGGTAGGTGCAATTAATTTGTTTTAATAAATTTAAAAATTAGTATTTACCACCTGATTTTTGAATTGTAAACTTCACCTTCCTTATTTTTGAAATGTAATCTTGAAAAGAAAGGTTTTAGGTAATTTTCTTTTTTCTAATTTTACGGATGTCCACTTCTGAACATGGTCATGCTACATGTACCATTTGAATTACATTTTGGGTTATTCAGGCCCACCACCTCCCTCACATGGGGGTTGGGTCCCACACATTTATTGGATGTGGGACCCGACCTCCATGTGAGGGAGGAGATGGGGTCGGGTAATCCAAAATGTAATCCAAAGTGGTCAAGTAGCATAATTCTTTTGAATAATATTGTCAATATATCCCATTTTAGGTATAAAAATAGTATGTTATACTCAAATCACATTTATTCATAATTACGTTTATGTCCGTAATTTTTCATCATGTTCTTATCATTAACTTTTCATTAATTAAAAAATCGTGTTATTCTCAACGACACCTATTAATGTGCTTTAAAATAAAGAAAATATATTTTTTTAGCCTCCGTTTGGTAACCATTTTTCTACAAAAAAAATGCATTCTTTGTGTCAAATCACACATTTTTTGTGTCTCTTTCTAATCATGGACCTCACTTGATGTGAAAGAAAAAATGTATTATTTGAAAAAAGAATGGCTCCCAAACGGAGCGACGAAATAATTAAATAGAAATCGTTATCATGCACATGATATATTAATTAATGAACATTAATGATAAGACTGTGATGAACAAATATACACTATAACTCTGTGAATGCTACAAGGAGTAGAGTGGGATGCTTGATTTAAATTGATATTGCTCATTTATTGAACATTAACATAGCGTTATTTGTGCTATATTACTCCGAATATGTACAACGATATATTCTATTTGTAAGATCGTGCCTAATAGTTCAGAATTTGAACATTGAAAAATTGATATATACGACATCACGTGAATTGCATAGTATTGCTATTTGTACCCTCATGTCGTGTTAATTTATGTCGTAATCATGATGCCTTAACGAGGTCATGATCGACATGTTGGCCAACCAAGTTAAGCCATGTTATGTATTTTGATATTTGATTGTTAAGGGCGTAATCTATGATCTATGTAGTAGACTCTTACCTATGAAAGAACTTATGTTCAATCACACATGTACATCATATTTCATTCATTAATTTGTTGTATTCATTTATAATCCAAATTTGAACGCGATTACTTTTAGATAATTGGAAAAAAAGAAGGGGAGAATTCCACAAGATGGTCACGAATACCAAATTACAGCTAAAGTAGACATCTTATCGTACTGTCATCGTCACTCTAGACTGTACCGATATNCCATTTTGCATTCTTTGTTTCAAATCACACCTTTTTGTATCTCTTTTCTGTTATTGACCTCACTTGATGTGAAAGAAAAAATGTATTATTTGAAAAAAGAATGGCTCCCAAACGGAGCGACGAAATAATTAAATAGAAATCGTTATCATGCACATGATATATTAATTAATGAACATTAATGATAAGACTGTGATGAACAAATATACACTATAACTCTGTGAATGCTACAAGGAGTAGAGTGGGATGCTTGATTTAAATTGATATTGCTCATTTATTGAACATTAACATAGCGTTATTTGTGCTATATTACTCCGAATATGTACAACGATATATTCTATTTGTAAGATCGTGCCTAATAGTTCAGAATTTGAACATTGAAAAATTGATATATACGACATCACGTGAATTGCATAGTATTGCTATTTGTACCCTCATGTCGTGTTAATTTATGTCGTAATCATGATGCCTTAACGAGGTCATGATCGACATGTTGGCCAACCAAGTTAAGCCATGTTATGTATTTTGATATTTGATTGTTAAGGGCGTAATCTATGATCTATGTAGTAGACTCTTACCTATGAAAGAACTTATGTTCAATCACACATGTACATCATATTTCATTCATTAATTTGTTGTATTCATTTATAATCCAAATTTGAACGCGATTACTTTTAGATAATTGGAAAAAAAGAAGGGGAGAATTCCACAAGATGGTCACGAATACCAAATTACAGCTAAAGTAGACATCTTATCGTACTGTCATCGTCACTCTAGACTGTACCGATATGAAACAACTTATTATTGTGCAGATCAATATAATGTAAGGACTAACGAGTACAAGTACACGGACTACTTATACGATGAGTAAGTTTGCCGATGTTGTCTTCGTTACATTATGGTGGAAAGTATAATTTTATGTTATATGTAGCAATATTTGTATGCACTGTGGCAATATCAAAGTTATACCCGTTAATTGCCTCATAACGGGAGTCCAATATTCTCCGTATAATGATTTTTCATAATGTAATAGATGTAGAATTGTTTCATCACACTGCACTGAGATGAACATTAGGTCCTTGATTGGTGTAGCTAAAAAAATTATTTTTAGTAAATTTTGATAAAAAAAAAAAAAAAGAAATATGTGGTTAAAAAGTTATGAATTCCATAAAATATGCAATTAAAATTAATTGCAGACTTTGACTTAATTTTTCATCAAAATTTTAAGCAATACCAAACAAGGATTAAATAATGATGTGAATTTCAATTACCATTTTGTTAAGTCCCTACTTGATAACCACTAAAACAAAAACACTTTTTTTCTCAAATTTATTTTCAATTACACATTCACACAACAAAAAATTTTGCACGCAAATTCAAAAAGACTTCCTAGTTTTTAATCAAAAATTTTAAAAAAAATTATTATTCCAAAACTCATTTTTTTTACAGAAAAACTCGTTAAAATTGTCATTAAACGGGGTCTGAATTAACCCGTATATTAACCCCTCTTATGGGATTAAGATAGTCACCAGAATATATTTATAAACAGTATAATGTTATTTATAGTTAGCGATAACTTATTATCTGAGACCGTAAAAATATCTCAAAAGAGTTTCTTTAAATATAAAATGCTCGCTATTTTAAAGAGTCGACATTTATATTTATATTTACATTTACATTTATATATATTATTATTATATTTTTTTTTGTAGTAAAATTAAGTATTAAATAAAAGAGCCTATTGGAGTACTTGAAAATTTATACTCTCTGAATCTATGAATACTCTTCAGATAGTAAAATATACTCCTAAAAAATAGAGCGTTTCTTGGAGATTTTCTAATTTTTGATAATTTTAGCCCCCATTTCTCTTTCATTCTTTTAAATTATTTCTACATATTCAGTCCTATTTTTGGAATGTAATGCATTTTGGAATAATAGATCGATAGAGAAGGTGTGATTAAAAAATGAGAATTTTTTTAAAATTTACGTGTAATATTATTTTATTGAAAAATGTATGATTAAAAAAAAAAACAGATGAAAATATATTTTAAAGAAAATGAGAATCAAATCAGAGATAAAATATTGTACATGTATGTCCAAACATTTTTATTTACATTTTTAAGTTCGCGCTCTTCAAAAATTCATTATTAAATGGCCACGAAACGATGCAGGGGCTATTATCTCAAGTAACCCTACACAATTCATCGTAATACCCGCAAAGTCTACGGTCTTTTTCTAGTCGTAAAAGGTATCTCCTTGCTCGTACGGTAACTCTCTATCGTCTGTCATCTTAATCCTCAGTCCCGTTATATCCACTTATCACTGTCAAAAATCTGAAGCCCTGATTTGGCTATCACCCCACATTTATACTGGTTATAATTATAAATATTTTTTTATCCATTTAGCTTCTTTCTATATCAAGATCCAGAAAATCGAGCGATTCTTCAACTGGGCATGTAGGACTATAAAATCCTCCATAGATCTCTTTGCATCTTGCCTTTATTCTTGTGTCCATTTTTATTATTTTTTACCTGGGTTCTTAAAATATATGTTCTTGACACTGATCATGTCTCGTAAGTATCGGATTTTATATTTTCGCGATCCATTATCTGTTTAATTGCTGATTGTACTACGTCTTGAGAAGGAAACTTCCAAATAATCAAATTCGGGCTTCTTTTTGAGATGTGAAATGGATAGCTGGGCTTTAGAATTCTGAACTTATAGTGGTTGGACGAGTAAAAATTATGTTTCCGCATGTTCCATATTTCTCGTCTTTAAAGACCTTTTCGTTTGAATGACTTTGTGATTGTGTCTGTTTCTTGATTTCAGTTACAGATGGGTATATACCTCAGTGCTCCTAAAACAGAGAAATTTTCTGAAGATGGTAAGAACAGTAGGCTTAGATATGGCTTATCATCCATGCAAGGATGGCGTGCTACGATGGAAGATGCTGTAAGTATTCACTCAAATTTTGTTCATTACGATACTCGATGCATTTTTAGCCGTAAGCTTGTTGAATGCAGTATGCCATTCGCTTATTGTTTCATTGCTAGTCAGTATTTAGCAAGTTTTTGAATGAGAACAAATAACACCAGAAATGGTTTAATGTGAAAGCTGATGGATCGGTGATTTGGCTGTCATCATATTTTTGACATTCAGCATATGCCATCAGATTTAGTTGATTTGGTGTGTTGCCAAGATAGGCTGGTGTAATATGTGCACAAATGACCTTAAATAAGGGCTAGGACATCAATATGGGGATTCCATCCCCTTAGAACAATTAGGGGTCCGGGTCATACACGCTTTGTTGCATCTGAGATTACATTGCCTCTTCAAAGTTAAACATCCCTTGCCTGACGTGTTCTCCCTAAATTCGTGAGAGGTCTAGTAATTGGTTTCATAAGCAAGATGGAAATGGTAAAACAGAAGAATTATCTTCGCCTTACCGTAAGGGTTTCTGGTTGAGTTGCATATCAATTGGCTTGTCCTGTGTCAGCCGAGGGCTTAGTGGTGATTAGGACATTCATTGTCAGATTAGTCTAACCTTTCCCCCGGTGATGTAGTAAAGCTAGAAGAGAGCCCTCGTTCAATTGTGGGTCTGAACTTGTATATCCAGTGTTCCACATGTGGCGCTTTCTTCAAGTTGTCTATTCCATTAGAGTAATAAATAATTTCAATTTGGTAATTCGAACAATGTTGCGAGAGGTAAATCAATGCAGACATTTTCTTAACAGAGTGTATGGGCTCCTAGGCTGCTGGAGAGAGGGAGCTCGTGAGTGTAGTGGAAGATAGAAAATAAGGAAAGAAGGTTGTATAACATTATAATGCGAGTTTGGTAATTTTGTAATAATGAGATATATTCTTGACTACCTAGAAAAATTATGAAGGTTTCACTCAGCTATGGGTTTTAGTCTCTGCCTAGATGCTGAGATGGTATCATTGAATATTTTCTGTATGGTTGTTTCATTATAAAATTAAAGACGCGTTCAAATGATTGTCACTAACAAATATCGTTGCGGAATATCTTGTGATTGCATCTTGTCTTATGCATCTAGTGCCTTTTGATTCGTCATACAAGTTATCATTGACTATGGTCTTATCGTTTTTCCTCAAGCATGCGGCGCTTATTGATTTGGATGCCTCCACTTCATTCTTTGGTGTTTATGATGGTCACGGGGGTGAGTTTTTCTAATTCTCCTGTTGTTGTATTACATGCTAAATTAGGGTGCATGCCCTTTACCATGGCATGAAAATTTTAAATACAAATCGGCATTCCTTATCATGTACCCATGATTTAAACTATGTGAGTAGGCAAAATAAAGGTGACGTGTTGACTGTAGGCATTTGTATACCATAATTTATTGTCCCGAGTTCTTATACTCACAAAACAGATCTATTGAAGACTATAATTAGTTTGAATGGAAATTATGTTTTGCTCTAAATCAAGTTTTGCAACCCAATTTAGGGTGCATGCCCTAATTTTAGGGCAAGCACCCTAATTAGGGCGCATGCCCTTTACCATGGCATGAAAATTTTAAATACAAATTGGCATTCCTTATCATATACCCATGATTACTATATGAGTAGGCAAAATAAAGGTGACGTGTTGACTGTAGGCAATTAGGGTGCATGCCCTTTACCATGGCATGAAAATTTTAAATACAAATCGGCATTCCTTATCATATACCCATGATTACTATATGAGTAGGCAAAATAAAGGTGACGTGTTGACTGTAGGCATTTGTATACCATAATTTATTGTCCCGAGTTCTTATACTCACAAAACAGTTCTATTGAAGACTATAATTAGTTTGAATGGAAATTATGTTTTGCTCTAAATCAAGTTTTGCAACCCAATTTTTTTGTCGTCTGGTCAGCGCGTTATTATTCTCTTATCAATGCATTGAATTCACAGGTAAGGTGGTTGCCAAATTTTGTGCTAAATATCTTCATCAGCAAGTTCTCAAGCACGAAGCATATTTGGCTGGTGACATAGGTACTTCTGTTCAGAAAGCTTTTTTCAGGTCATTTTCTATTCTCTGGTAGTCTTTAAGAGTTTCTGTTTCTGTTTCTGTTTGGTGTATGCTTATCTTCTGTTCAGCAGCTTTATCAGGAGAGACCTGCAACTTACTTTAAGAGCAGCAAACTTATTTTGATTTAGGCAATTGTTAGAATGCTACAGTTAATTCTTGTGTAACGCCCCAAATTCTAGTAACTCGACGCGTTTGCAAACTAAAATTTCTTAACGTTCTAATAAAAAAAATTAGATTTCAATATGATGGGCATATTCAGCCCCCGTTTGGCCCCATTGTTTGAAATTTTTATGGTTGGAATAGTGTTTTTTTGAAAAATGTGTGGTTAAAAAAGAAGAAAAAGTTTTGGGATTAGGTGTAATATTATTTTATTGGAGAATGTGTGGTTGATAAAAAGGAAGAGAAAAATGAATTATAATTTTTGTGGGTGCCAAACAAAGTGTCAATAAAGCTTTACAACTTTATTAAAAACAAAGTTAATTTGTTAAATCATTTGAAATGTTTTGACATGATATTGTTCATCAAAATATTACTAAAACTAGTTCTAACATGCAAATTAAATTTCGACTAATTAACATCATAATATTACTCCAAAACGAATCTAGTGCTTGTTTGGTAGGGATTTTGGGGAGAATAATTGATTTTTGAATAGTGATATGATGGAAAATGTGTGGTTGAAAAAGAAAAAAAAATTATTGATGTGATGGAAAATATTATTTTATTGAAGAATGTGTGGTTGAAAATGAGAATTGATTTATTGTAAAATTTGAGAATAAAAAACAAACAGGCCCCTAATTCTCAACAAATAGACAAATCCGTTCGAAATATTAAAATATACTAAAGAAATCCTAATATTTCTAAAAAGTTTAAGTGCTCACTGATATTGCCACTTGTAGGATGTTTGTGGCACCATAAATGATATTCTTTCATATGCTTACTTTGCATTTTATTGGATTTTGGTTTCATGAAGCCCGATTAGTGGGTTTTGGCTGCTATAGAATTTGTCTATTCAAATTTTTACCGAGATCTGGATACGAATCCTTAATATGAATTAGATTACTGTAATATGACACTACTTTCATACTATAAACTGATTGTTGTTTAAATTGAAATATTTATTTTGAGGTTTAAACATTTTTTGTTTTAATGTAGAATGGATGAGATGATGCGTGGACAGAGAGGGTGGAGGGAGTTGGCCATTCTGGGAGATAAAATAAACAAGTTTACTGGCATGCTTGAGGGTTTGATATGGTCTCCAAGAAGCGGAGACAGAAATGACCAAGTTGATGATTGGGCATTTGAGGAGGTGATTACTTGCATATGTGGGATACTTATGCTGTAATTCAGTGATTATGTTTACATTGCATGTTTTCACCAAGATCCTTCAAATTGGCAAATAGGGATTTTAGTGTCGCTAGTCAAAATTTTCAAATAATCACTACACATAATTTATGATATTATATTTTAAATCCTCACAGTCCTTTGCAACACGATATGTAAGTTATTGATAAATAATTGTTGCTGCTCGAAATTTTGTTTCCTCCAAAGTCATTATGGGTGGTGTTGACAGGGCCCACATTCTGATTTTTCTGGACCTACTTCTGGGTGCACAGCTTGTGTTGCAGTCGTTAAGGGCAACCAACTTGTTGTTGCAAATGCTGGTGATTCGCGATGTGTAATTTCTAGGAGTGGTCAGGTACTATGCAGTATAACAAAATTCTTTTATTGTTTTTTGTGTTAGTGGTTCAGGGGAAGTACATGTGCACCTAAATGGATGTTTTAATTTAGCCAGACTTCTGTTTCTTGTCTCCACGGTATTGGAAAATACTAAATATAAAAAATATATATTCTCGTGTGTTGAACTTTTTCCATGTTTATTATTGTACTGAGACAAACTATTTGTTAATAATTGTGTATGGCTCTCATTCAGGCATACAACCTTTCAAGAGACCACAAGCCTGATCTTGAGGTTGAGAGAGAGAGAATTTTAGAAGCTGGTGGTTTTATCCATGCAGGACGTGTTAATGGCAGTCTCAATCTTGCAAGAGCTATTGGTAATGTATCAGCTTGCCTAGTCTGGCGGATCTGTTCTCTGAATAAAATGGACATATTTAGTGCTTAACTCGAGTAGTGGCTCAATCTGGCATGAGAAAATGTAGTTTATGATGATCAGTATTTTGATTTGCTGCAGGTGACATGGAATTCAAGCAGAACAAGTTTTTACCTGCTGAAAAGCAAATTGTAACTGCCAATCCTGATGTAAATATTGTATGTTTCTATCTTCTTTGTATTTCTTACGTGACTGGATTAGCATTTCCTATAGAGCTCATCTCTGCGTTTTTAAGTAAAGGGGCGTTTGGACTCTGCTTTTTGCTTTGCAACTTTAACTGCTTTGCCACCTGTTCTAAGACAGCTGAGAAACAGCTCAGTAGAGAAATGTACATTTCAATCGGGATGTGTTTATGTATAAGATATATTAATTTGGTAAAATCTTTCACATTATTTATTATTTAATATACTTAATAATATCTGAAATATAAGCTTATTATCAGGATAATATAAATTGATAAATTGAGAAAAACCATGGCATGTTTTTGTTTTCTTTGTAAAATTGTTTTTAACTATCCTTCTAATTTTGGGAAAATTCAAAATTAAAATGACTATAGATTAATCAAATGACAATACTTCGTCACAGGATGATCTGTGCAGAGGAATGTTGATATCTTCTCTTCTGCTGTTATAAAATTAAAATGAGAAGACAGACTATCGTCACATCTTGCTTTTAATAATATTGCTGCTTTATGTCAACTCTATGGCAGGTAGAACTTTGCGATGATGACGAGTTCATTGTGCTTGCCTGTGATGGCATCTGGTGTGCATCCAAACTCTTGTTTTTTGGTTCAATAAGATAATTGTAAAATAATTATTTTTAGTAAAGCTAAAATTTGTTTTTAAACTTTGACTCAACTCAAGTTAGGACCTCGTATAGAACTTAATTTTTAATGAAATTATTACATAGTTTCTAGTCTCCATATGCTTGTTTTATTATTGCTAGATTTCTCGCTTGCGTTTGGATTATAAGATATCTAGAGCAATTTAATTTCAGTTCATAATTTTATATGCTGTAGTCTGTAGAATATGCTAAATCTTGAGTAAATTATGGGTAGCATGTTAAATAAAAGATATTTGAGTCTTTTGACTACTTGATCTATTTACTCAATAACATGCTAAACCACATTGAATGAAACCTTATCCTAGGGGTTTTCTTTCCATATGACAAAATAATGGTAGGTGTATCTGATTTAAATGACTGGTTGAATGTAGCCAACGTGGTTTGATTTTTCTGTGGATTGGTTGTGGGCCTGTAGTAATTAGAATAAAGAATAAATTCGAAATCTTGCAAATGTGGAATTTTTCTTGTAGTCTCCTCTCTACAGTTTCAATGCTCAGATCTCTCTCCAAAAACATTTCTGTATAATTGAAATCTGAGGCTGAGTCTACTTCAATCCCCCCACCCAATCAGTAGAACTCCTAGACGAATCATGTTGGTTAAGCTTGGACCAGAAATGAGAAATTTGCATTGACATCTATCTTTCACACCTTTTTAGAATAGCTGGTTCATGACATTTATAACCTTCTTTTCCCTTTGTACTGTAACTCTTAACATGTGATATCCTTTAATGGATTAGTGCCCATAGACGGATAGGCGTAGACTTTTTTTGCTGATCCATGGTACCACTTGTCATCTCTCATAGATTTTTATGATTTTTCCATTGAGATTATGCATCAGAAAGTAACGGATTTTTAAAGTGAGATTGCTCCTGGGTTTTTCTTTCTTATTAGTTTGCTTTCACATTTGTGCATTCTAATTACATTGTGCAGGAACTTGGAGATTTTGATATTTTGAGTTTTTATTTCGCCCTCCATTTTGGTACTTGTGTTTGACCATTGTAGTATGTATTACCACCTATGGAACTTGTGGATGGCTATATCATTATCCCTGACTTACGTGCAAACTGGTGGATTCCTGAATCTTTATCACGCTCTTCATTAATAAGTTTCTTTTATCATAATGTTTGTGATAATGGGATTCTAGGTAAAATACTTTAGAGATACAAGACTTCATATAACTGACAAATCAAGTTGCCTTTCTCCAAATGGTTTCCAGGGATTGCATGTCAAGCCAGCAGCTAGTAAATTTTATTCACGAGCAGCTGAAATCCGTAAGTCCATTAAGTATTTTTGAAACTTGAATGTGAAGAAATGCTCGGTTATTTGATATTTTTACCAAATTCAGATGGATATGGACGGATTATTACTATCAGATTATTATTTTTAACGTTTCTTACCTCTTATTTTTATCATTGTGAAACTGGCTTCTGAGAAGCTTGATTTTATTTAACTTTTCCTTCTAGAATAGGTAGAGGTTTATGATTCTCAAAACTGTTAAATTAGAATCACACGAGACCCTTCAGACCCCCGTTTGGAGGGCTTTTGCTTCTACTTACTGTAGACGAGCTTCTTGAGGAAGCCAACTTATTTTAGCTTCTTCAGGAAAATTGGGAGATTCTTCAAATTAGCCGGGTCAATTAGGTTTTTTGAAGTTTTTATAGAAAAGTCTATTTTATCCTTAATGAAATAAACTTCTTTATTGCAAGACATATCCTTCTTTTATGAATAGTTTTAAAGATTAGTATCTTATATTTCTTATATTTCGGATTCTAACAAACAAATCCATCCTTTGATCTAATAGATTAGCATAATCTGTAATTTTTTGTTCATATTATGTTATAAGTTTTTTATATTCTGCAGATGGTATATTCCCATTTCTAGTTGGGATCTAATATTTTTTATTTTTTCTAATACTATTTCTAACAAATTATCTAATCCTTTAACTGTATATCCTGACCTTTTTAAATATCTAACTATGAACAACATCATAACAAAACATTATAACAATTAATTCCTGCGATTCTTTAAAATTTTAAGAGAGTTCTTTCTAAATTTAGCAGTAAATAAGTAGTTCTACTTTAGTTTTGGTCTGGATTTCTAACCTCAGAATCAAGTGACATTCGAGCTCTGGATGTGCAAACCACTCCCTTCAACGACTTCCTGCTTTCACGGGATCCTTGCTATTCCAGCTTCTTGCTCTCACTGTATTGTTTCTAAGAATTAAATCTCTAGATTTCTGTTAAAAAAAAATCTCTTTATTGCTAAAGTAAGAAAGAATTTCTCTATCAGATTTTTAAAGAATCTATGAGAATAAGATTTAGAAACTCATATCATTTTGAGAGGATTGAATGATCTATTCCAAATTGGTAAAATTGATATATTTGAAAAATTGGTACAAGATTGACATATGATTTTTGGCTTTCTTACAAGTTGAGTGCTCAAATTCGTTCCGCCTTCCTCCTAACCCGAAGACCTCTATTTATACAAGTATTTGAGGCAAAATTATTGGCCTCTTACATCTTTCCATACATCATATAGTACAATAATTTATGTTTTTTCTATCAATAGCCTCCTGGCCCCCCCATTATGCAACTGAGTTATATCACATCTTCTTTTAGGGTTTGTCTTTGCATGCAAGCTGTCTTCTTTTGTATCTGTAGGATTCCTTCAAAATGGTAGGTTCATCTCTCTTGCATTATTTTTGTCTACATGTGGGACAATCTCTTACTTCACATGCACGTTGTAAGGTTGAGATGCTTCCTGGCATTTGATAAGTATCAAATTTATTGATAAAGTCTTTGAGGATTTCAGATTTTTATTTTCCATCATTAGCAAGTAGAGTCCATCATTGATATTGGTATAAACATCTAATTTATTTTCATAAAGATTTTTAGCCATATTATAGAGAACTTTATATCCAAGAACTCTGCGGTATTATAGAGAACTTTATATCCAAGAACTTCTGGACTGATAGTATAAAATTTTAGATAAATTTTTTTTTTTTTTTTGATAAGTAATAAAATTTTAGATAAATAAATCTTCCTTGGGCATATCTGGAGACTTCAGATTTAAATATATCATCAAATCTTTCAATTTCTTTAAGATTTTTATCTGGATATATTAAATCTAAGTATCTATAGTCGGCTGCCATTTTACCATAGTTGGCTCAGAATCTTTCATCATTATTATTCTTGGGTAGACGTGATCTCCTGGTGAAATAAAATATGAATCACTTGTCAGTAATTCATAGATGATTTTGGTAAACATTTTATACTCTTCTTCTTTTGATGACAAAGGGACTTCATCATCTTCATCTGGATGTATCATGATGGATTTAGTATGTCCTTCATTGATGATAATCTTTTTAGGACTTTGAATAATAGCATCATTTTTTGATCCACAGCTGCTTCCGCTTGGTGGATCACTCCGAGTTTGTACATGTTTGGTATAAACTTGTTCGTATCCAGTAGTATCTAGTGATATCAAGGATGGACCATACTTGCTAATGATGAAGTCCTCAAAGACTTTATCAATAAATTTGATACTCATCAAATGCTAGGAATCATCTCAGCCGTACAACGTGCATGTGAGGCAAGAGATTGTCCCACATGTAGACAAAAATAATGCAAGAGAGATGGACTCAACCTTACAACGTGCATGTGAAGCAAGAGATTGTCCCACATGTAGACAAAAATAATGCAAGAGAGATGGACCTACCATTTTGAAGGAATCTTACAGATATAAAAGAAGACAGCTGCATGCAAAGACAAAAAGATGTGATATAAAACAGTTGCATAATAGAGGGACCGGGAGGCTCTTGATAGAAAAAACATAAATTATTGTGCTATACGATATATGTAATGATGTAAGAGGTCAATAATTTGCCTCAAATACTTGTATAAATAGAGGCTTTCGGGCTAGGGAGAAGGCAGAACAAATTGGAGCACTCAATCTTGTGAGAAAGCCAAAAACCTTCCGTCAGAATCTTGTATCAATTTTCAAATATATCAATACTACCAATTTTGAATAGATCATTCAAATATAAATGAATTTCTAAATTAATTTTCTCATAGATTCTTGAAAGATTAAGAAAGAAATTTCTTTCTTGCTTTAACAAAAAGAGAGTTTTCTTTATTTAGGATATGTAGTTTTAATTCTAAGAAACGATACGGTGAGGGCAAGAAGTTGAAATAGCAAAGATCCCGTTGAGGCAAGAGGCCGTTGGAGGGAACAATTTGCATATTCAGAGCTTAAAGGTCACTTGATTCTAAGAATAAAGACTTAAGATCAGAATCAAGGTAAAACTATTGTTTTTGTTAAATTTGGAAAGAATTCTTCTAAAATCTTAAAGAATCGTAGGGATTATTCATTTCAATGTTTATGTTTAAGATTATTCATGATGTTTGAACTGCTATTGTTTCATTATATTTATATTATTTAAAAATGTCAGGATATACAGTTAAATAATTTGTTAGAAAAGATAAAAAATATTAGATCTTAATTAGAAAATAAAGATGTACCATCTGAAAAATATAAAAAACTTATAGCAGAATATGAACAAAAAATTACAGATTATGCTAATTTATGAGATCAAATGATGGATTTGTTTGTTGAAATCCGAAATATAAGAAATATAAGATACTAATCTTTAAAACTATTCATAAAAGAAGGATATGTCTTGCAATAAAGAAGTTCATTTCATTAAGGATAAAATAGACTTTTCTATAAAAATTTCAAAAAACCTAATTGACCCGGCTAATTTGAAGAATCTCCCTCCATACTTCCTACTTCTATTACCAAGTTTTCTTGTTCTCTGTGTTTCTTTCCAATTCTCGACATCTTTTTTTCTATCAACTTATCTTTACTTTTATTATTTTCTTTTAATTTCCTAATCTCAATTTTTAATATATTTATCTCATTTTTTAATTCATTTCTTAGATCTTGAACATCAATGATTAATATTTTATTAATTGTTTAAGTTCATTCATATGTTCATTCATTTCTTTTCTGTTAATATTCAGTTTTATTTTTGATTGGCTAAGATAAAATAATTTACATTCATTATCTTTTGATTAATATTTTTAGTAATTGTTTTAGTGATTGTAACTTCCATTGTTTTATTATATCTTTTATTTTTATTTTTTGTGGTATTTATAGATCTATGTAATAAATTCTTTAATACTCTAAGAATTCTTTTAATTTTTTTAAATTTAATCTATTATTTATTATAGATATATAAAATCTTAATGTTAACTTAAATTTTAAATCTTTATATGATTGAGGTAATCTGTTTGTAATAGGTTTTCTCATTTATAGTGTTTTAAGTAAATCTAATAATATTTGAGNTTAATATTTTTTGAGATGCATTTAATTGTTCTTGATATCCAATCTTATCAAATTCATTTTCAAATTCAATTTCCTTTTTATCTTTAACTATCTTTTTAATTTTATATCGTCCTCTTTTGGTTCTAGGTTTTTTATAATTTTTATTAGTCGTGGTTTCTGATAAAATAATTCTTTTAGGACTGAATTGTTCTTTTCTTAATATTGTAGCTTTAGTTATAAATTGAATATTTGGGGGTATTTTTGGTAGTTTCCTACCTTTGTATGGTCAAAGGCTAGTATGAAGAAATAGCCTCCTTTTTAGGCTATTTTCATATATTTCCCAGGAAAATTATCCAAACAGGTTCAAAAGCAGCCTTTTAAGTCTTAGAAATAGCTTTTGACTTTTTAAAAGCCCAGCAAAACAATGCCCTTAATACGGGAAGCCTGCTTTTTCGGACTTTCTCAGTTGATTACCACGTTTGACATTCTAAACTTGCTTATGCAGGAAACTAAGCTTTCCAAGGTCTCTGAAAAAGTACTCGATCGGTGTCTGGCACCATCTACTGCTGTAGGCGAGGGTTGTGACAACATGACCATGATCTTGGTGCAATTTACGAAACCTACCCCTTCGAGCGCATCTGCTCATGATAAATCCTCTGCTCCTGAGGAAGTACCCGTCAAGTCGAAACTGAAACATAATAACTGCAAATAACTCGACAACATCTGATCATACATTTTGGAACTCTGTTCAACTACAACCTGTAATTGTATATGGTATTCTCTTTTTGCTGAAAAGGATAAAAACAAAGGGCATATTGTTCTATTTTTCCATTTCACTGTAGTGTAATATAGCCATGGGAAGAAGAAAGTGTACAAATGATTCAAATTACAGGTTTTTACATCTGGTTTATGTTCATGTGAATTATACCATTCAGCGTTTTCACTGGTTTTTGTTTAGTACATCGTGTTTGGTAAGCTGCATATGACTAAACATAACAATTTCATAAATTTTGTCAATGCCGCTTTGCATTAATCCTGTTGAGTTTTGTTCTAGTAAAATTAATATTTTCGTTTTGACAGGAAACTGATTGAATTTGCATAAATGAGGAAAGTTGCTTTCTGAATCAAGAATCAATTATGAGGACTTGTGACACTGATAATTGTTGAAAATGAAAACTATTTTTGAAAAGATTTTTCTTATTTTATTGCTATGAATATGACATATATTCTTAAATGCATGAGCTAATCGATCTTGTTGAACTAATACACAGGACCCCATTTGGAAAATCCTTGTGTATTTAATTCGTAGTATGCATATTAAGTCTCAAGAGTTTCCAATTTTTGCTTGATTGAGTACACCAACTTGAAATGCGACTGCTTGTATTGTAAAATAATGTAATTTTACAATAAGACTGCAAGTTTGGTACCCGTTATATTGTCTCATTTGCAAATAGATCTCCATTTTGAGGAGCAAGTTAGTTCAAAACACAGTTCAAGGTCTTCATTAGGCCACATCTCTCCCAAGCTAACTTACAAGGAGCTGATCATGCAACCAGTGGATTCTCAGAGATTCTGATTTTTCAGTAGTGTATTATAAAGGATTTCTTGGACCAAGTGAAATAGCCATTGCAGTTAAGGTACTTAATCTTCAATTGAGCGGGGCTTTAAAAAGCTTTTTAGCCAAATGCAAAGCCTTGAGGAACATCCGACATAAGAACCTCGTAAGTGCCCTAGATGTCTGCTCAAGTACCGATTTAAAGGGCAATAATTTCAAACCCATTGTATGCCAACTTATGCCAAATGGGAGCTTGGAAAATGGATACATCCAGAAGATAGAGAAAGAGGAAAATGTTCAGATATTTTAAGAATGAATATTGCAATTGATGTTGCTTCTGCATTGCGGTATCTTCATCATCGGTGTTAGATTCCCGTGGTTCATTGTGATCTCAAGCCGAGTAACATTCTTCTGGATGAATCTCTTTCTGCTTATGTTAGTGATTTTGGTTTGACAAGGCTCCTTTTGAAGTCGGACGAGGAAGTTAATTTGGCTGAATTCAGCTCAGTTGTGCTCAAAGGCACCATAGGATATGTTTTGCTCCAGGTACGCTGCACTACATCTGTACAACACAAATTTCGGAAAGGCTGCTGCTGTCACGGATAAAGCTCTAATCAGAAACAGACAACGTAAACATTTAGATTTATAGTGGTTCACCAAGTGTCATTAGATACTAAGTTTCTTCCATCTCATGCTGCAAAACTTATGGTCTACTGCAGAGGGATTAATATAAGGGCCACACTACATGGACAGGGCCTTGTTCAAACAGCATTACCTTTAATATAATTGGTATTTACTGACACACATCATAGTGGAAGAAAAGCACAAAAGGGTTCTTGAGTACATCATCTTGTTTTAAAAAAAAAAAAATTAATCTACTTGTACAATAATGATTGACAAAATTTGTTGACAATATTTGATATGGCAAAATTTGGATAGTTGATTTAAAAAACAGTTTTTGAAATGGATGAACACGATGATGCCAAATCATAATTGTCAATAAATCTCGCCAAGCATCATTGTACATGTAGCGTGATTGTTAAAAAAATGAAATAAAGATGATCTTCTTGCACCAAAAATCTACCTTTTTCACGCCAAAGACTTGAAACCCTAGACCTTTGGTTCTATTCTCCCTTGTGTCTTTTCTTTTTGTAACACCCTTCTTGTTTTGGCCTAGACTAGGTCCTTATGTAATGTTAGACCAATCTTAATCGTGACTCATAAAAATATCCAAAATAACTCGGAATAAAACCAATAAAACCTGAATTTTTTCGGAACAACCGCAGTGACCACGGTTTGCTGGCCATGACCGAATTGCGGTAAAAAATAGGGAGGCTTTTCCCCCCAACTGCGGTCAGGCGATTAGCAAACCTCTTAAACCTCCGTAACCGTACAAATTAGTCCTTCTCGAATTTAGAAGCATGCAAATTCCCCATCTTTTCATATGTTGAATTTTACTCCCTAAACTTGTGATTGTTCTCTTATTGCTCTCTTAATACTACTTATTATGCAATTTGATTAGTCTTCAATTGCTTCAAAATAATTCCAGTTAGGCTCAAAATCTTCTTCTTTGCTATAATTACATCCAAATTCAAGTTTATCTTAAAATGATAACAGTTACATTAAATTAAGTAGAATTTTGCCTATGATAACAGTTACATTCAAAATAACAATTACATATTCAATGCCTACGGTAGATTCTTTAGTAGACTCGATTGCTGGACATGTAATATATTCCTTTATGGATGGGTGTTCAAGATACAATCAAATTTACATAGTTGAGGAAGACATACACAAAACTGCATTTAGATGGCCTAGAGCTTTAGGATGTCTTGAATGGGTAGTTATGTCTTTCGGCCTGAAGAATGCGGGGGCAACTTATCAAAGAGCGATGAACTTGATTTTTCATGATATGATATGCAAGTTTGTTGAAGTGTATGTAGATAATATAGTGGTCAAATCTATTAAAGAGGAAGACCATTTTGAGCAATTAAGACATTCATTTGAGCGAATGAGGTAATATAAACTAAAATTGAATCATTTGAAATGTGAATTGGTATTAATGCGGGAAACTTCCTTAGTTTTCTAGTACACAGAAGGGGGATTGAACTCGATAAAAATAAAGTGAAGGCCATTTTAGAGGCCAAAACACCTAGCAACCAAAAAGAATTGCAAAGGTTTCTAGGCCAAGTAAACTTTTTAAGATGCTTTATCTCTAATTGTGCAGGGCGAACGAAAGTTTTTTTGCCTCTTTTAAAGCTGAAAAATCAGGACGAATTCGTCTGAAAAGAAGAGTATCAAAAGGCTTTTGAAAGCCTAAAGATATATTTATCCAGTCCACCGGTATTGGTGTCACCAATCCAAGGACGGCCAATGAAAGTGTATGTATCGACTGAATAAGAATCAATAGGTGGAATGGTCGCGCAAGAAGACCAATTTGGTGAAGAAATGACTATTTACTATTTGAGTAGACGGTTAACAAAATGTGAATGTAATTATTTTACTATTGAAAAATTATGTCTTGCTTTATATTTCACATGTACAAAACTAAGGGCTTATTTACAGCGTGTAACCGTTTATTTAATTTTAAAAATAAATTTGGTTAAGTATATATTTTCTCGCCCTATTTTACACCAGAGTGTAGCCTTTGGACTTTAACATTGTCAGAATTCAAAATACAATACATACCCCAAAAGGCAGTAAAAAATCATGCTTTGGCTAACTTTCTGGCCGATCATCCATTCATTGACATGCCTGAGGAGATTGAATTAGAAATCGATTCATTCGAATTAAAACCTTGGATTTTATATTTCGATGGATCAAAAACCTCCAAAGGTGCAGGGGTAGGAATATCATTGATAAATCCTTTAAGGATTTGTTACAAATTCGCATTGACTTTGGTTAGGATGTGTACCAACAATCAAACCGAATACGAAGCCTTAATTGTGGGCTTAGAGTTGATGATAGATATGGAAATAAAGAATGTGATTATTATGGGCGATTCTCAATTGGTAATTCACCAATTATTGGTGATTTTAAGTGCCAAAGTGATTCCATTGTAAGTCAATACGAAATCGTCCAAGAATTGTTGGAAAAATTTGACCAAGTAGAGTTTCAATGTGTTAATAGGAAGTATAATGGCATAGCAAATGAGTTGGCCTAAATCCTCAGGTTATACAAAAGCTTTAAATTGGGAGTCTACTTGTTTGTAAGTCAATACGAGATCGTCCAAGAATTGTTGGAAAAATTTGACCAAGGAGAGTTTCAATGTGTTAATAGGATGTATAATGCCATAGCAAATGAGTCGGCCTAAATGGCCTCAGGTTATTCAAAAGTTTTAAATTGAGAATCTACTTGTGAATATGGAATAATATTGTCCGTAGTACAAAGGAGGGCGAGAAGGATTGGAGTTCATTTCATACAAGATGGAGATGCAATAGATTGGAGAGTAAATATTAAAAAATTCTTCAAAGAGCCTAATAAGGAAAGTAGTAGAAAAATGAAGCTGCGTTCGTTGAATTATGCATTGATAGATGAAGAGTTATTTAAAAAACACTCAGATGTCAGATGGTATACTACTAAAATGTGTAAGTTTGCTAGAAGCCGAACGATCATGACTGAAGTGCATGAAGGGATATGTGGATCTCATCAAACTGGCTAAATGATGAGATGGTTGATTATTAGGAGTGGATATTTCTGGCCCAAAATGGGAGAATCATGTGTTCAGTATGCAATGAGTTGTTTAGCATGCCAAAAGTATTTGAGTGGGGAGAAGTGATACCTTTAAAAAAGATCACCCAAAAGAGTGGCATAGAATTTATCCGTGATCATATTATCTATAGATTTGGGAGCCCACAAACTTTGATGGTAGATCACAGAACTTCCCTGAATGGAGATCAAGTGAAAGAGTTCTTGAACGAGTTTGGAGTTAAGTTAGTAAACTCCACGCCGTATTTCGCTCAATCTAACGGACAGACAGAATCTTCTAATAAGATTCTAAAAAATATCATAAGGAAAATGATAAATGAAAATGCCAGAAATTGGCACGAATGTTTAAACAAAGCCTTATGGGCTTATATGACGTTGCCTCGTTCAAGTACCAAAGTTACTCTTTTTCAACTTACTTATGGACAGGAGGCTGTTTTGCCTATGAAAATTAATGTGCAATCAATCAGAGTGTGTTTGCAACATAAGTTAAGTGATGGTGAGTATGCTGAATCATTAATCCAAAACTTATTGGAGTTGGACGAATTAAAGTTGGACGTCCTAGATAGATTAAAAATCCAAAAACAAAGGATGGCTAAATTTTATAACAAAAAAGTTATAGCCAAATCTTTTAGCCTGAGCGAATTGGTTTGGAAAACAATACTCTCTTTGGATAGCAAAGATCCAAAGTATGGCAAGTGGTCGCCTAATTGGGAAGGGCCAAATAAAGTGAACAGTGTATTACCTAATGGAGCCTATCATTTAGAAGATTTAGACGGTACTAAGCACATGAGGTTCATTAATGGCAAATACTTAAAAAAATATGTTATTTCCTTATGGGAAAATGAACAAATAAAGGCATGAATAAATAATAGTGCCGAGCGATCATAAGTAAATAATACAAGAACGAAGTACATTCAAATAAATTCTTTTATTATCAAATACTCATTACAAATTATGAGATACAAAATACAAGATGCTCTATAAGCTACAATTGGGAGCAGGTTGTCATTAGTCTTCTATCAATCACAAAGAAAATGGATGAACTGGCATTGATGGCCTTCCCAATCGCACTGCTGCAATGGCAGACAAAAAGGTTGAGAAGCACTCTCAACAGTCAAAAAGGCTGAAAAGCACTCGCAAACTGCCTTCCTAATTGCATTGCTGCAATAGCAGGCAATGAGGATGAGAAGCACTCTCAGCAAGCTAAGTAACCTGAAAGGCATTCGCAAATTGCCTTTCATCATTGAACTCTCTATGAAGAACATAAATGGAGACGCTGAGAATACCTTCATTGGCCAAAGAACATTTCTTATATCTCCCATAACAAAGGTGACATCAAGGCAGATAGCAAAATGGACAATAGATCAAATGATCCATTTCTATCGAAGAGGGAAATTGTTGATCAACTATATAAGATGTTAAACGATGGCAAGCAAGCTGGTATTTTTTGAAGAAAAGAATGAAGATGATAAGGGTAGAACACATAAGCATTTATAGAGGTATGAATGTGAAATGACAGAATATGAACGGCCACATACATGCATTGTGACCGAAAATTAAATGACCTAAAGTCTTGGAAAATGAGATTGGAACACCAAAGAAAAATGTACATGAGTTTTAGCATAAGATAATTAAATGATTGGGGGGTTGACGATTGATAAGACGTCAATTAATACGTAAATAAATAAAATAGTCGTTCATTAATGACAGTGGCTGCCGTTACATTCAAATTTAGTAATAGCAGCTAATACGAAATTATAAAAAGGAAAGTGAAGGCATCAAATGTCTTAATTACAATTTACCCCAAGCTGAACGCATTTGTTCCTTAAGCCTTACCCAATCCTTGCTCTGCCTAGAAGAAGTGGTAGTTAATTTAGTTACAACATCTTCATCAACCT